CCCGTGCCGCTGATAAACCATCACATTAGTACTTTCCTTTATGCTTCCATTCCTTCTGAACAGCGCACTTTTATGTCCAAAAGAGAAACTCCTCGCCTTTTAATACTTGGTGATTTTATTTTTTAATGAAACTTCAGGAAAGAGAAAAGAAAATCTATGGCCACCCAAATGGTCATTGATCATTTATCAAATAGGATAACTGTGTTTTAAAAAGAATATTTCTATGCAATTGATCCATTATCAAAGCTTCTCATTCACATGCACAACCTTCTTACTTGTTTCAGCAGTGACTGCATGAATTGCTTCTCCCAAACCATCATGTCTAAGTGGAATATCCAGAAACACAGAATAGCAAGTATATTATCTAAAGGACTGAAAAAACCCCACAGCTTCCACTATATCGTCTGAGAAATCTATTTTCAAGGTCCACTGTTTCAGTGGGATCAAGAAGCTCTAGAATATAAGTCTCTCCCTCCACCCCCCAAAAACCAAAGAGAGCAAAGGGTATGCAAGAGAAGTTACGGAAGAGGAGAGGTTCCCCAAATGCAGTTGAATGGGCCAACAAACAGTACTGTTGATAGCCAAGGCTACTTTGGAACCAAAGGGGCATTTTTAGACTCTATTGGTTTATGGACAAATTGGTCTTTGTAGTTTAGAGGGGCTATTCATGGGATGGAGTCCTGGTGGTTTAACAGTTACACAATGGACTGCAATCTGCAAAGCCATTAGTTCAAAACCATCAGCAGCTCCATGAGTGAGAGACTGGGCTTTCTACTCCTGTAAACAGTTACAGTCTCAGAAACCCAGAGGGCAGCACTATGAGCCAGCATTGACTCCATGGAGTGAGTTTGGGGCTTGGGGGGAACAAAATGAATGGAATGTATACTTTCTGATCCAGAAACTTACTTCCATAATTTGTTCTAGAAATAATTGCAGATGAGCATAAATATATACATCCAAGTTTGCCCAAGTATGCTAAGTTCAGCATTGCTTATAAACATGACAACCCTAAGAAGCTTAGATGTACCTCAGTAAGGGTATAGTTAAATAAATCACGGAGAACCATATATTCAACGTGACAAGGCTAGATCTCTAATGCATAATTATACCAGAAAACAGGGCGTTGAATAATTTAATGCTTTTTTAGAAAAAGAACGTGTGTGTGTGTGTGTGTGTGTGTGTGTGTGTGTGTGTGTGTGTAGATGTGCAGAAAACCACCTGGAATGGTACTTACTTATTAAACTCCTAACAGAGGTTCCCCTTGAAGAGACTCGGTTGCTAGAACACAGAGTGACTGACAAGTAGTACAGGGAATTCATAGTTATTTGATTTTTCCCCCAGATTAACTCTGAACTGTTTAAATTTTTATTAATTTTACTATTATGAAAGCAAAACAGAACTCTCCCCCGAGAGAAATAAAAATATGAAGAAGCTCTGAATATTTTTATGGCTTTATGTTCAGAACCATGGAGTGCAGAATAATATAAGCATTTACTGTGACTGCTTTGCTAAAAAAATTTTAAAAATAAACTTATATTAGGCATGTAATTTTCACATGCATAGAAGTGTTCCTACACTATTTCGGCTACTATCAAACATAATATTTTTAAATCTTTAGACTGAGAAAACAAGATTACCAGAAAATTACAGTTTTGATATGTTTAATGCAGGAAAACATAGCCAGGATTATAAATAATAACCACATTGTAATATTCAATCAAAATCAAATTATTTTATTGCTTTTAATCAACTTGCCTAATGTTATTCTGTTGTAAAATAATTATAAGGAGCCCAAGTGGCACAATGGATAAGCCTTGCAATGCTAACCAAAGGTCTGTAATTTAAATTTACCAATTGCCCTGCAGAAGAAAGATGAGGCTATCTCCTCCTTTGAAATCCCATATGATCACTATGAAATCCCATAGGATCACTGTGAGATCCCATAACATCACATGGAATCCTATAGAATGATTTTGAAATTCTACAGGATCCCTCAGAGTAAGAATTACCTTGATGACATACTATAATAACAAACATTGTCATAATTCTTTATTATTATTATTACCAACATGTAATAAGGCAAGGTCAGGATTTTTCTTTCTTGTATGAATGCTGATAGTTGGACCTACATATCAAACAAGACTCTCAGTTTGTCCAGAATGATTCCTAGTCTCCAGACCTCTGCTTCTCCTGCCATTCCCAAGTTTTTGCTCAGAGATAAAATGTAGAAGGCTGGCAAAGGATATTGCTGGGGATCATAGCACACCATGAGTCATATACTTTATTTCGCTGAATTGTAGATGTGAAAATATGTTGAACTAACAAATGTCTATACCTTTATAATAAAAGGTTTTCCAAACAGATTTCTTTTTTAAACTTAGGAAACTCACGTCCTCACTACTGTATACCCATTCCATTGACAAGTCCTATTTTCATAACATGTCTGTAATCAGCACACATCACTTGGCCAATATCATCCTAACTAGAGCCACTATCATTCCTCACCTAGAGTACACTCATGGTATCCTCCCTAGTCTTCTTTCCTCCACTCTTGCCCAATAAAATCACCTGCAGTCCCAGCAACCATAATGAAGCAATATCATTCCTCTGCTCGGATGTAAGCCATTCTGTTTTCTAGGCTGCTCGGGGTCTTACATGACCCGGTCCATCTACATGACCTTTCAATCATTGTCCTGGCTGTGCTTCAACGTTTTGTCTTACCCTTGTCCTCAATATCCTCTCTTCCTGGAGTCATATTCTAATGAAAATTTTGCACGACTCATTTTTGTATCACGCACCGTGTAACCCAGCCTCTAATGAATCTTCTCTCCCGGCTTCCATGCCTTTTGTTGTGCTCCTCTACACTAAATCCACTTTTGTGAACAAAGCTGATGGCAGAAATGATGGCGTGTGAGTTTTGAGACTAGGTTCTAAAAGATTGCAGCGTCTACTGGCAGAAGTCAACCTCCAACAGTGAAAATGTGTAAACAGTCCTATGTGGTAGTGCCTGTAAAGAGGAGCGAACTTGCCAACCATGTGAGGAGCCACCTTGGAAGTAGACCCTTGAGCTCCAATCAAAGCTTCCATAGGCCCCCTCAGTATAGCTCAGCAACTTCCCAAGACATCTGTAGCCAAAACCATACAGCAGAGCTGTTCTAAAATTTCTAGCCAACAGAAACTCCGAGGCGTATTAAATGGCTACAACTATGTTAATGCACTGCCCTTTGGGGTGATTTGTTATACAGAAATAGATTCATTGATATATTCGGTCGCTCAATTTATTCAGAGGTCTGATCAAAAGCTGCCTGCTTAAATCAAAACAATGATAACAGTGATATGACATTGACAGCAAAATTCAAAAATATTGAATATTAAGAGGGTACGGAGAGACAGTAACTCTTATACACTACTAATGGGACTGAAAGAAAGGTACAACAATTGTGGAAAGCCATATGGTGCTATCTCAAACAACTGGCGACAGAAACTCCATTTGACTCAGCAATCTTTGTTGGGTATCTACCCCAGAGAAGTAAGAGCCAGAATACAAACAGGTACACACACACCTATGTTCATCACAGCACTGATTACAATTCGTGCTAACGTGACTAAATGGGGAGACAGTAAGTACCCCATAGGGAGGAGATGGGAAACCAAAGGGGAATGGTGGTGGAGCAGAACAAGTTATTGGGGGATTTGATAAGTAATGTAACAGAAAATAGAAACCAAGATTGATGATCTGAAATGTAAGTACCCACCTGATCCATTATAAAAAGTTTCTTTTAAAAAAATAATTTCAGAGATTATCAAGAAAACAAGTTGCCTATAAGAAATGCCCTCCTTGATTTCTTATCTAAATTATCCACCCATTTCCCCAAAATACTCTATTCCCAACCACACTTTGTTTTATTTTTGTTGTTTTTTTCCATAGTACCTGGAATTAACTGCTATTGTTTTATCTATTTTTATTTGCTTATTGTCTTTCCCGCTATTGAAATAGAAGCTCCACAGGGACAGGAATGTTTGTGATTGTTGCCAGTGTGGACTCCCCTGA